GCTGGCCTGTCCCTGCCTGGGCTGCTCCCCCCCCACCCCTCCACGGGGCGGCCAGTACCTGGGTGCACGGCCTCGATGTACCAGGTGAGTGCGCCGTAGACCACGGCATCCACCATGAGCATGGTGACGGCCAGAAGCAGGTTGAAGTCATCGCCCTCCACGGGGGACTGGCTGAAGGTGTGCCACTGGATGCCCACGCCCGCCACCTCGTACAGGGCGAAGTACTTGGAGCCCAGGCCAAAGGCCGTTGTGGACATCAGGGACTGAGGAGACAGCCACGTCAGCGCACAGGGCGGGGCCGAGCCTCCTGGTCCGGCCCACGCGCCTGCCCGTGGCCCTCACCGCGATGCACTTCTCAAAGGCCGTGATCTTGTCGTGTGCCACCTCCTCGCGGATCGCCACATACATGTAGGGCACGTAGCTCAGGAAGTAGATGATGCCACCGCAGGCAGAGGCCAGCTTGGCCTTGGAGTACAGCACGGACACCAGGAAGCTGGACAAGCAGGGGCCAGGTGGGCGGTCAGCCACTCAGCCCCCTGGCCCAGTGCCCCAGCCCTCCTTGGCAAGCCCCGCTGGGGACCCAGGCGGCTCTGGGGGAAGTCGACACGCTCCAGGGTGAACGCACTGAGTGAGCGTGTGGTCAGCGTGTGGCCAGCCTGGCCTGCATGGGAACGAGGCTCCCTGCGGTGCACTGGCTGGGGCTCACCAGAACATGATGGTGGCCACGGCGTAGACCGCCAGGAAGAGCCAGATGATGAGCACGTGGCTGTGCATGAGGACCTGGCCATACTTGAGGATGGCGGTCAGCGCGGTCACCGAGATGGACAGCTGCACGAAGCCTGTGATGAACCAGGCCACCCAGTGCACGGCGTTGTTCAGGCCCATGGTCTTCATCACCTGTGGGCACGGCAGCTTGGGGGGGCGGCCAGGACAGCTGCCGCTCCCTGCCAGCTGTGGCCCAGCCCCCTCTGTGCTCAGCCTGGCCCTCGGTGCTTGGCTCCGCCCCTCTCTCGAGCCGCTCCTTGAATCCCAGGGAGGGACCCGGCCCCAGGGCGCCCCGCCCACCTCCTTGAGCCGGTGCTCCTTCTCGGCCACGATGTGCTGGATGGTCATGGCCACAGAGTAGACCCAGGAGATCACCATGCACAGGGGCATCATGTGCTCGATGACAAACAGGAAGCTGGAGGGGGGAGCGGCGTGAGGGGGGGCTCGGCCTGGGCCCAGCCCCGGGCGCCTGGCCGGCACTCACTCGTCCCGCGTGTAGCAGGGGTAAGGGAACATCTGCACGTAGCTGCCCGGCTCCACCACGTCGTGGCCCACGAAGGTGTTGACGATGGCGCGCTCCATCATGTCTGCGGGCGG